TGCATTAAATACTAATTGGTATCTATTACACTGAACAATATGAAATTAATTCTAAGGACTGCAGTGCTACCAAATGTCATTTGTGCTATAGCAATCAGAAGTCAGGAACAGTTCAATTTGCCATGCAGAACCTGCTTAATATAGGGCCTTGTTTAAAAATTCATAACCTTTTACAAAAAAACAGCTACTTTATATTTTTCTGAACAGTTATATAAAATTCTTAAAATTAGCTCTTATCTCAGCATACAATAGAATTTACCCTCATTAAATACAGTCTTAGCTGGGTCACTTCCATGCACTGACGACTACTCCAGGTTACACGGCAGCCCTTGCAAAATTGGCTCTAGCTCACCTATGTGTAAAAGTAATAACCCCTTTTACAGGGTATGGGCTTTATCCTGCTTTTTCACTAATAGTTCCACTGAAGTCTCTGACACATGTAAAGGTCTTAGGATCTTAAGATCAAGTCTTAGGAGTTGACAGAAACCAATGTATTTGAAGAAATAAGCCTGAAGATTTCAGAAAGAAAGCCTGTCGTTCCCTTTTTAAGATATATACAGTCATATGTACATATTCACAAATCTGTCCTGTGAAAAGAAGGAGCTTATTACAGAAACTGTAATTTGTCTCAGTTCATACAATTTAGAAAGCAAAACAAGAACAAATAAATGTAAATATATCTACATACATAGTACGACATAGCAACTATGGAACAGACAATGCTATATGTGATCTCTCATCCCCATAACTCTTCTGTTCTTCCGAACTTGTAGATCAGAGTACTAAAGGAAAAAAAAAAAAAAAAAAAAAAAAAAAAAAAAAAAATCAGGCCATACATAAGGTGGAAAAGGTAATTTTAATAGCATCCTTATAATCTTATCCTATCTACACTGCAAATCAACATCCCTCCAGTAACCCTAACTTTTATTCAAGTCACTATCTGGTTTTTGTACTTACATTTCATTTACTATGCATTGCTAAAACTACGAGATCCAGCTGATGCAACCGCTCAAATAAAAAAATAGCCAGTCTCACAGTAAAAGCAGGAAGGAAAAAATTCTGGTATTTAAGAGATTCTAGGACCGATCCACAGAGTTACAGAGCAGCAAGTCTCATCCTGGCATCTGGCAATCAGCTGAATGTAATGCATCATGTCCTAGCTAGAATCTAAGCAATTACATTTTTATGAGCAAATCAGAAAGAATATTGATCCTGTGGTGGATAAGTGAGATCCAAATTACAATTTGATTTCCAAAATTCCTTTTATAACTTTGGATGCAATTACATATTGTCATGAATCAAAAAAAAAAAAAAAATGTTGAGGGAACAAAACCAAGCATGATTTCCTTATTGTTCCTTATATTTTAAATTATTTTTTTCTTATAGCCAACAAACAGGTGGTAAAGAAGGGCACAGTCATACTAAATCATAAGAGAATGAAGAGGGAGGGAAATGAGGAATACTCACACCAAGAACAGTAACAAGCAATGATAAGTAAAACAAGCTAGACACCTGGGCAATTAACCAGAGAAGAGAACCGCTAATAGAGCATGTTAAACTAAGTAAAAAAACTGGTGGAGTAACAACCAGGGCTGAAGCACAAGTCCTGAAGGAGACACATGGTTCAGGGAATACAGACATTATGCAACAACACTGATGGAAGAGAACCTGATTCAATCAAAAGTTTTGGATAAGGACATTAAGAAGGGCATCGCTGATTGACCCAGGTTTGGTCTGAGGAAAGGAGTCTATGGCAATGGATGGACTTATCAAACGTTACTGCCTAAAGTGTGTGGTGGGATAAAAAACAAAGACTTTTTTTTTAAATAAAAAGGTTGTTCATACCTAGAAAACAAATTTTAGAAGACAAAAGAAAACAAATAAACCTAAAATATATCTACACACAGAATACAATAGAAACTGTGGAAAGACACTTTCAGAAACAAAAAGCTTCAGAAGTTCATCAAACTACTGAAATGAGAATAAAGATTTCAGGCATAGTGAAACTATTCTCAAAAGTCTGCCTTCATCAGTATCCCATTTCAACCATGTGCAAGACTACAGAGAGATTTAGGAACTGCTATTTTCTGCAAGAACATAACTGATTTTCTGAACAGGGAAGCGCAGTGGAGCCAGTCGATCTAGCTCACTGCAAAGCATTTGATAAGGTACTGGAAGGAAAATTGTTACCACAGTAATTTAAGTGAGTAAGAACTTGCAAAAGAGGAGGTTATGTAAACTTTTTCAGTGACTGATCTCATAAATTACACTATTTAATGCTTTCATTGTCTTTTATTAATAAAATTCATGGATTGCACAATGCATTATACATATAAAAAGAATTATTACAGATACAGATAGTTTCAAAGTGTCATGATATACTTCATGATATTAAGCGAAATAAAAGAAATTGATTTAAGTGCAATCTTACAAAACATACCATCATGCTCTTAGGAAAAAAAAATATCACTCTCAACTGAAAGCTCATCCAGTAGAAACAAATCTAGGTGTATCAGTTATCAGATAATCAAGCCATTGGTATGAAACAGTCAGGAAAAGGGCAATAGGATCTCCCACCTAGTGCTGTTAGGATATATGCCAAGGTATTTGTAGTTCAGAGATGAAAGCATTATTGCCATTATCCAAAGACACTGACAATATCTCACCCAGAATACTGTATATTCTTGGTCATCCACATTCTAGAGCTGTAAATTCAGTGAAACCAGAAAGAGCTGGACTAACAGGAACATGAGGGGAACAAAGAGCCTCTCATGGGCTAAGAAGGGGCAAATAAAACATTGTTTCTAAGCACTGGAGCAAAGGGAGTAGAAAAAAGTAGCAGAGTAAAAAAGAGGTTTTAAGAAATCGTTTGATCAGTTTATGCATTGAATAATATCACAATTCTCTGTACAATGTCAGTTTACTCAGTGACCCAAGAGGTCCCTTTGGCTTACATGCCACCCTCCTCAAGTAAAGGTCAGGGTGGGTAATAAATTGCAATACAGGGGGTCCTGGATTGACAGCAGCAAACTCCATATTATGGAAGGTCCAAGCCTGGAGTCAGCCTCCAGCTTTCAGACCTTATTTTCCAGGAGTATCAATGTGCATGGAAGCAGGCAAGCCAGATACCCCTTGGGAAGGAGGGAAATTTGCCCAGATAACTTACCTGAAAAATATCAATGCATTTTGGAAAAACACTGCTAATCCAGGGTAAACATTAGTGTCTGCAAGTAAATAACAAAGGAAATATTAAGTTCTTTTGCATTGGAAGGTGTGTTTAAAACACTATCCATAGTGTCATTCTGTGATTACAAAACTAGATGGTATGGCTCTGACAAGAACAGACCACACATTTCCATTCTTCTAGATTTTCTGCCTTCTGGCTGACAGCAAAAGTACTCTTCTGTATGTGAAAATAGACAAACTTACTCTGTGTAACATATGCTCCAAAGAGAATCCACATTGAAGCAATAAGTGAACCAAACATCAACATAAAGCCAATGAAGAGCCAGACACGAGCACCTGCAGGAAATATTAAAACCTCTAAGAACCATGTAGACTATTATCCATAGTGACAGATGATCCAAGCTACTGCTCTTATGACATAATATGTTATCTTGCTGAAGGCACAAAGGGAAAGTGTTAAACCTTGTATCAAGGACAAGATAAACCAAAATTTGCCTTCTCCAGTAAAGCACAGTGTCTGGATTCCCCTTATTTTAGCGAACAGACACAACCACCAGAAATTTCCCCTCACTTGTAGGGAACACCTATAACATCATTTAACACAACTTGGAGTGGACTAATGATGAGGTACTTTGCCAAAGCTATAGTGTTTCTGAGGTAAAGATGGCATTCCAATAGGGTATGTAAAACAAACGCTTGCTGTGTTTACTTCAGAAAGATATTTTCACATGGGCAACATCTACCATAACCAGATATTACCTGCTGAAAAAGGGAGATGATGCCATTGAAAATAATCAATTTGCTCACTCATAGGAAAGGAAAATACTTCTACAAAAAGATTCTCTCGAGCTGATTTATGAATGACACACAAAAAAGTGTCATACACTAGTTCAAAAATCAGTAAACCCTAGTGGATTTCCAGTGAGGCATTCTACAGATCACATAAAAACAGATGCTGGGATCCACATGGGAAATAGTAAGGGAATTATGAATGAAAGCAGAAAGGGGACAGCAGGTCCACAGACACCACACAGTAGGTGACACACAGAGGAAACAGAATGTTTGTGATACATTCTAAAATAAGACATTCTTAAGTAGTGTCTGCTCCATAGCCTACCACAAGGCAAAAATTTATTTCTCCCAGCAGCTATACAGGATTTGCAGAGGAAAGTTTAGGTATTCAAGATATACAGAAGTCAAATTTTTCTAAGTTCACCTTTTTAGCAGAGACAGTACTTATCTCCAAGTGTTAATTTTGTAAAGAAATTAACTTCACAGTAGTTCTCTCTTACTCCTTGACTTCTGATTTTTTGTTTAACCACCACTTAGAAAAAAAAAAAACAAACCCAACACCTAAATAATCAGTCTTTCAACTGAACATGATTTTTAGAGTTAATTTACCTGTTCTTCCTAAACATCCATCACTGTAGCTGTCCCCTCTCACCTGTGCATTTGACACAGCATTTATCCTAGGAAGAAAAAAGTGTATACGCTTCAGATTATTAGAAAATCAATTTAAAGTTTTAAGTAAAAAGCTAGCTTTTTTTAAGATGCAACAAGTTCTGGGAAAATTACTTGGCATTCTGTATAGTCACATATTATTACATGTCCCTTAATGGAAGGATTCCAACTGGATTTCAAGCAAACCTCGTATTTTTTCCTAAGTTTTAAATTTTTACATTAACAGATCTGTAAGATGAAAGAATTGCCCTTTTTAGTGATTGAAATATTCCTGGTCACTTTCTGGCTGTTTAGGTTTTTAAAATATCTAAAGCCACTTCACAGGAATAATAACAGCCAGTAACACAGTGCTCTCATGATTATGATACAAGTTGCTTTCCTTCACAATGAATACCATAAGTAGTCAAGTGAGAGATACCCTGTAAGGAGGGACAATACATTTTCTTAAAAATGAGTTACACTGCTGAGGAAAAAACCAGAAACTTTCAGATACCAAGTGTTAAGAAGGTCTTGCATATCCAAATGAATCCTTTTTTCTCACCAATATTGTATGATTCAATAAAAGCTATTATTACTCCTTCAAGCTTGCCACATTTGCATCTTTATAACAATAGCTATAATACTACTACCTCTCCCACTTGAGGAAGTTTTGGGCCACAGACAGCTGTAAAAATGCAGGGGAAAATGCAGTCAAATGTTTTATAATTGAGGTAAGCAACTGGGCAGCATTAAATGAATTTTGCTCTAGGAATCTAAACACTTATTACAGAAAGCCACTTGCATAAACGAAGGTCTGCTTTCTTACGTTCAGCCAAAGTGCATAGGAAAAGCAATTTACCCTAAACAGGACAATGAATAAACAGACTACGATCAGAAACAAAGGCCACAGGTAAAAGAAAAAAGGCCTTTACATTGCCATGCAAAAAGGTACAAGATTACTCATACGTAATTTATAACCAAGTGATTCAAAGATTTATCATATACCATATTGTCTAGTAAAAACTGTGTTTAACAGCTCATGTTTATTTTATAAGAACTCCCTTTATATACACTTACATGAAAAAAGCTAGTGTTGAAAACACCCCACAGGTATGGAACGCATGGTTCATTTGTTCTGGCTTAGGGTAAACTACTGCAGCATCTATCATTATCCACCAACCTGTGAAAAACTAGAAATGAAATAGGCCAGTATTACGAGGCTGGAAGGGTACAGAGACAGGCAGACAAAACATGGCAAATATTCATGCATACCATTGGTTTGATTGTCTTTTAACACACAAACTATTCTAGAAAGTTATTAGCTTTAAGTTGGACTCTAAATCTGTCTGATATGCAAGTTCTGCACAAACCTTAATGTTGATGTTTTCAGAGGAGTATTTGGGAATCAGTCACATTTTCTATTCAAATTAAGTACCAGCGTATGGTTAAATTCCCTGTACAGCTTTAAGAACAGGAATCCAGATTCTAAACACAAGATACAAACTATGTATAACATAGGTGTTCTAACATATCTAATTATGAAAACAACCCACTAGGAATTTCAATCTTTTTCAAAGAAGAGATAGTAGAAATGGTACATCATTATCAGACAAAATGCAAAGTTATGCGACTCATAAAAAAGCTGTCTAACAATTACACTTAAAAAATTTTAAAGAAATCTACTGGACTGACATGCAGTTAAGAGTGAAACTTCACAAATTTGACACAAAAGTGTAACTGTCGTACTTCCAAATTTCTCAAGAGAGTTACGATTCACATCCTCTCAAAACTTACCAATACACCCGCAACTATTGAAGCGATGGCATTTCTTCTTTCACTCCAGTCAATACACTCACATTCTGGCCACCGGAAGTTGTCTAGGAATCCTGCCATCTTCTCAAAGATTAGATTGCCCTTCTTATTTGGTACTTACACATTAATTTTTCCATTAACAACTGTGTCCTAAATACCTGAAACACAGTCAAAGATGCATTTTATACAAAGTAGCAAAATCTTGAGACATTTGACAACTCTGATGAGCAATTTTTATAATATGGGGTTTTTTACAGAATTAAGTACTCCAGATACTCTATGGATTCTATATTGAGCTATATTTAAAAAAACAACCTACCTTACAAACAGAATTGCAAAATAAAATCATCATACAACCCAAAAACCTCATCTATTATATAAAAATCATCTTATCTGAAACAGAAAAGAAATTAAATAGAATATACTATTTGTTCAAATGTATGAAACGCAAAAATAAAAGCAAGCAAAAAACAGGAGCAAAAAAGCAAATATTTCAATCTAAGTTTCATCTTCAAACCATAATGTTCTCCCTCACATTAGCAGTTAAAAAAAGTACGATACATACAACAGGGCTTCATACGCAGACCAGAACTTGGTCTTTGAGTCAGGCCAAGGAATCTTGCATAAGATACCCATATTTCCAGTCTCCAAATAAGCTAGATAATATAGTGCCCTTCTAATATAGGGGAAAAGGGATCAACTCAATGAATCAACTAATACCAAGGGTAAAGAATGTCCCACTTCACAGAAAGAGGATAACACAGAACTTTAAATACAGGAAGAGGAAAGCAAAGTTAATTAGTGTTACAAAGCAACTACTGAAACAACACAGTTCTCAATTTGGTGAGACAGTAGCTATAAAAGATTCTGACAATCTATTCTCATACTAAAATGATTAGCATATATAGTTTAAGTGTCAGAAGTTAGAATATTTATCAGTTTTCTGTTTAGCAGTGACTCACAACCACTCTTAATGCCATTCTATTTTGTTTTAGTATTGTCAACTTCTCTATTTTCCCAACCTGCCATAAATAATTTCCAGATACTAGTTAAAGGCTAACAACAGACAAATGTCTGTTATGATTATGTTACAGGACGGACTGATGTAGAACATTTTTCTGCTTAATAATGGTAATTAGAAGTCTACGCTAAGAAATGAAATTAAAATAAATAGAGTTTGCCTGCACTACAAACACAGGCCACGTCCAACGAATAAGATAAAAAATTTGTTCTCCTGAGTCTAGTTCCAGAAATCCATCCATAGTTATGATGCTAACTTAAAGCATTAAAATCAATCACTCAATTCCAAAATTATTTTACTTTTGTACAGTATCTGGACTACACCATACAGTTATTTTCCTAGATTACACTTTTACCTAGCAATTTTCAGATCCCTATTCTTTCTACAACTTTCACACAAAATTGCTGCACTGTGCTATTAGATTTACGACTGCTCCTACAGCCCTTCCTTCTTTTCCACCCTTAAAATGGCTCCACCTCTACTTTATTTGTTCCTCTTCAAACCATGAATGTGTCTCTTCCTCACCCTGCAGTAATCCCTCCCCTCCCAGCTCCTTGCCCACCCACACTGGAACACAGCTCATGGTTCCCATTGCTTTCGCCACTACAGACTGCACTGTTCTCACCCTGCATGCAGCTGGCCACAGGCAGGAGTAAATAGACAAACATGCTGTGCTACTTCTTCTCCCCACTGAACCAAATCTACCAAAGTTATTACCTTGCCTGTAAATACACTTTCAGTCATTTTCAGAATGACTGAAGCTGTATTTCTTCAAAGCTGTATTTTCCTCTGTAATTTTTTTCCTACAATGAACCACTGAAATAGTATTAACATATCTAAATAAAACCACCTCCTTCAAACATAAAGTACTACTGCAATTCAGAAAGCAGGTCAAGAAAAGCCACAGGAAAAAATTATTTCAGATACGTCAACAACAACAACAGAAATTATTCTTCACCCTCTACTTGGATGCCATCCAGAGGTACCTCAACAGGCTGGAGAAATGTGCTGCCAGGAACCTCATGAAGTTCAGCAAGGGGAAGCGCCCAGTCTTGCACCTAGAACAACCCCATGCACCAGTGTGTGCTGGGGGCCACCCAGCTGGAAAGCAGCTTGGCAGAAAAGGACCTGGGGGTCCTGGTGGACACCAAGTTGAACAGGAGGCAGCAACGTGCCCTGGCTGCAAAGAGGGTGAATGGTATCCTGGGCTGCATTAGGAGGAGCGTTGCCAGCAGGTCGAGGGAGGTGATCCTTCGCCTCTACTCAGTGCTGGTGAGGCCACACCTGGAGTGCCGTCTCCAGTTCTGGGCTCCTCAGTACAAGAGAGACATGGACACGCTGCAGAAAGCCCAGCGAAGGGACTGGAGCATCTGTCCTGTGAGGAAAGGCTGGGAGAGCTGGGACTGCTCAGCCTGGAGAAGAGAAGGCTCAGGGGGATGTCATCCATGTATATAAATACCCAAAGGGAGGGTGCAAAGAGGACGCAGCCAGGCTCTTTTCAGTGGTGCCCAGTGACAGGACCAGAGGCAATGGGCACGCACTGAAACACAGGAGGTTCTCTCTGAACATCAGGAAACACTTTTTCACTGTGACGGTGACCGAGTGCTGGCACAGGCTGCCCAGGGAGGTTGTCAGAGTCTCCATCCTTGGAGATAATTCAAAAGCCTGTGTCTGGACGCAGTGCTGGGCAACTGGCTCTGGGGGCCCTGCTTGAGCAAGGGCGTTGGAGCAGATGCCCTCCAGAGGTGCCTTCCAACCTCAGCCATGCTGTGGTACTTAAGAAATAGCCTGTTAAATTCTTGGATGACTTAATGAAAGAAATCTTATTACTTCTACAAAAATTGCTCTAGTTCAAAAGGCTGAAACAAAATGAAAAAATTCATTCCCTTCTATGATTTAAAGGGGATATATAGTTTGTTTTGTCAGCTAATATAATTAAGCCAACTTCCAATCCAAAAACTGACTAGCATTTATCCCAGCAAAACCCTTTCAACTTTGCAAAGTCAGTAATGAGAAACATTACGGATACCATACATTGCACAAAACCCTGTCTTAATTATTAAGCATTTTTTAAATATCAGGTGACAAACCACAGCCATTTGGCTCCCTTCAGAAATCTGAGACAAAACCTCTCTCAATACTTAATTGTACTGGATGTCAAATTGAGTTTTCACAACTGCATTAGTGACAAATGAGTGAAGCTAGGGAGACTAGAAAAAGTTGCTTTTTTTTAATATCTTCTAAGATACAGGGCAACCTTCCACAAAAGCATATTATTTTATCAGAAATTGTATTTTTGGTGCTTGATACTGGCTCACAAACCTGCACTTTGCTTTAACCTTATCTTTGTGCTCAGGAGAGAAGCACCCTATATAATGTGAATAGGTGAAATAAATACTACTTGCTGGCGGTCTTTCTACAGCAGACTAGTAACCGACAACACAATTCTGTTTCACTGGAATAAGATGACTAACATGGAGAAACAGGTGCAGAGAATTTGCAACAGAACACAGACAAGAAGTCTAGAATTATTTCTACACGTCTAATGCCAGAAACCAGCTTTGATTTCACAAAGAAAGCTTAGTGCTAGAGCAGGCATGCAAGAATATGATTGGCAGTAAAAGGAATCAGAGGTGCTAATGCAGCTGCCCTTTTTCTAGGATGATCTAAACATTAACTGATGCCATTCAGAATTCTGCAAAGGAGTCTTTCATAGAGATATTTCAAGAGCTCCACTTAACAGTAAAAATAATTAAACATTTCTCTCACTACTGACATAGCTCCATATGGGTACAGACTTCAGAGATACATGACTGAAAAGCGGTGATGCACCATTTCTTCCAGCATTACTGAATGTGCCTACGTTCTGTCACCAACGTGTGGATATTCCTCTCTTTGTGAGAGGACAATGCCATCTCTGATCAAATGCACATCTGACGGAGGGCACCCACATGTGGAGGGCATGACAAATAAGGGCTGTGGGGTTTCCATAAAAAAGGACAGCAGGAAGCAGACTGCAGGATGCTAGAACAATTCATCCAGCCTGAAGTCCAACCAACCACTTTTCCGTGCTCTCATTTAAAAGGTAAGCATAGTGCCGATCAGATCTCCTAGAAGGATGGACTGTACAGAGCCAACCCAAATGCAACAGGTTGACCACCCTCTCACAAGCTGTTAAATAAACACCCAGCTATTATACAATACTGGTTTTAATATGCTAGACAGAAGGGATACACTGATACGCTGGAGGGAAGGGATGCCATCCAGAGAAACCTTGACAAGCTTGAGGAATGGGCCCGTGCAAACCTCATGAAGTTCAACAAGGCCAAGGGCAAGGTCCTGCACACGGGCTGGGACAATCCTCAATATTAATACAGACTTGGGGATGAATGGAATGAGAGCAGCCCTGTGGAAAAAAAGGATGGGAGCCGGCAATACGCACTTGTAGTCCAGAAAGCCAATTGTATCCTGGGCTGCATAACAAGAAGCAGGTTGAGGGAGGCAATTCTCCTGCTCTGCTCTCGTGAGACCCCACCTGGAGTACTGCACCCAGCTCTGGGGTCCCCAGCACAAGCAGACATGGACCTGTTAGAGTGGTCCAGAGGAGGGCCACAGAAACGGGTGTCTCCCATTTGGGACGGCTGGAATGCCTCTCCTGCAAAGACAGGTGAGAGACAGTTGGGGTTGTTCATCCTGGAGAACAGAATGCTCCAGGGAGACCTTACTACAGCCTTTCAATATATAAAAGGAGCTTATACGAAAGATGGAGAGAGACTTTTTACTGTGGCCTGTAGTGAACAGGACAAGGGGCAATGGTTTTAAACTGAAAGAGGGTAGATTTAGATCAGATGTAAGGAAGAATTTCTTCACTGTGAGGGTGGTGAGGCACTGGAAGAGGTTGCCCAGAGAAGTTGTGGATGCCCCCTCCCTGGAAGTGTTCAAGGCCAAGTTGATGAGGCTTTGAGCAACCTGGTCTAGTGGAAGGTGTCCCTGCCCATGGCAGGGGCTTGGACTAGATGATCTTTGAAGGTCCCTTCCAACCCAAACCATTCTATGATTCTGTAATAATGTTCCATATGTATGTAATTCTCAACCGCCCTAGCAAAAAAACAAAGAAAATAATAAGCTATATTTCAACTGTGAAAGACCAGTGACATTGTGAAGCTGAGACTCCATCAAGACCACAAGAGCTAGGCTACAGTTTATCCTCATATGAGTTAATATGGACACGCCCAATTATATCCTTCTACACGGACAGAAAACTCTGACAAAGACAGATGCTTTCAGCTGGACTTTCTTACCTAAATAAAAGTACAAAACTCACTCTCTTGGTTTTAACTTTTACATCCACATACTTCACAGCAAGGAAACAGGAAAAACCCCTTGCGTTAGCTGTCCTTCAATGCCCTTCCTACAATCTGTCTCCTCCCCTTTTCCAAGGGCAGACACGTTCTCCCACTGTTCTCTGGAAACATTTCTCACTCATGTCCAATAAACAGAAACACAAGAACACCTGCAAGGACAAACTGGTGACTGAAGACAGTTACACTCACTGTTAAAATAATACTTGGTAGATACCAGCACTCCGGTTAAAACAACTGGTATGTTATTCAGACAAATGAAGTGAAATGAAAACACAAGAATTGGAATTTTCATCTGAAAATCAGTTTCCTTCTCTTAAAATGAATTGATTTCACTTGAACAAAATATTAAAAGCAGTTGCAAGAAAATACAAAAAGTCTGCAAAAAGAAAACTGTCTTAAGCTGTGCAAGGGCCCTGGAATACTGTCAGGTTAGTGAAGAATGGAACCTCCTGTTTCCAAAGAAGAAAGTAAAAGATAGAGAGCAGGAGGAGAATAAATTTAAAGGGAAGAAGAAAACCCTGTTTTCCTCAAAGAAGACAGCGTCCTCCACAAGCAACCAATCAGAATATGCTTTAAGCCACATACTTTTCTCATATGTGTATCCTATGAAAAGATATTTTGGCATGGCCACCGTAAGGAGCTTATGGGAACATTTCTGTTACGTCCACTGTAATTTTTTTAAAGGGGGACCTTTAGACCACTCACTCATTTCAGTAATTACATGCAGTTTCACTTTCAGTTTCCCATACAACATAGCACTATACTAGAAGAAGGAAACAAAGGAACTTTTAATTGAACTCTCAAATGAATGTAGCAAAATTATTAAACAGGTAATCGCCTTACACGAGTCTGTGCAGTGCTCAGACCTAGAGCAACGTGACTGCTGTCTCCAGCAAGTATTCTTTAAGAGTACTATTAAAGTTTGAAGACTGGAGAGAGGTAGAAAAAAGATCAATTCTGCAGTTACCCACAGGCCTATTTTTGCTCATAAGAGTATCCTATGTGCATCAATATTTATTTAATGGGCTCAAGCCATGACGGGGCAATACGAGGCAGAACCCCAAAGCTGCAATCAAAGTCCCGGCAGTAATTGTTACGCCGAGGGCAGCACTATGTAGAAGAAATAAGTCACTTTTTTTGAAATTTCACCTGCGGACCTCAAACTTTATGCTAAAGTACCACCGCTCCCTTTCCCAGATGCCGACCGGAGGAAGACCTGACCGCGGCCCTGCAGCGGCAAGGGGGGAACGGGGCCGGGCCGGGCCCTGCTGGCCCCCCCCCGACGACCCCGGCCCCCGGGGACAGACCCGCCCG